TTGCACTTTAACAACACGTTTTTGATTTCCCCGGTGATTTCTTGCCGTGTCGGATGTGGACTTTTCTAGCGCAGTTTTCTTTCGGAGGCACATTTGAACTGTTTACGACACAGACCTCCGTCCTGCGAACAAAGGAGCAACAAGGCCCGTGTTTTCGTCCAAGCGGAGCCTAAATCGAGCATTGATCGTGGTAATTTTTCTTTCAAAAGTCAATACAGCCTTGTTTTAAGCGATCTTTTCCATTAAGGCCTTTATTGTATTGCTATTTACGTGTGACGAATTGAGTCCTGTTAGCCGTGTGCTAAGGTTAGCCGCCACTCTGGACTGATAGTGAGCTAACAGCTAACTTTAGCATTGTTTTGACTGGAGTTTTCACGAAGAGGACGCAAAGTGGAAAACACAATGGCTGAAGTGTACATTCGTGTGGCTGAGGAGGAGAATGAGGAGCCGATGGAGATACCGTCCGAAGATGATGGCACGGTGCTGCTATCCACGGTTGCCGCGCAGTTCCCCGGCGCGTGCGGCCTGCGGTTCAGGAGCCCCGTGTCCCAGTGCATGCGGGGTGTGCGCCTGGTTGAAGGCATCTTGCACGCGCCCGAAAACGGGTGGGGAAATATCGTATATGTGGTCAACTATCCGAAAGGTGAGCATACTTTGAATCCTACTGAGTATACACACAATAATAGGTATATAGTTGCTTGTTTATGGTTAGGCGCAAATGGAATAACATGAATGGTTGGGCACGCCCCCTAAAGGACACCATTCATTCATCCATTACGCCGCATGCCAATTCAAATGTTTGTGCTTAAGTCCATTTTAAAGCAATTTCCTTAAGATTTTAAATTCCTTTATAATTTTCCTTTAGCTTTATTTTGTAATTATTTCTTATATATTCTTGTTTATGTATACATTTATTGACACGCTAAATAGAATTGTGAGAGTTACAGCATTAATGGCTCATTTTATAATATTAACTTTGCTGGATTCTGTTTAGTGGTAATGTTAGGCTTTACTTCCATCAACAGGAACTATTAATACTGACAGACAAATATGTAATAAACTGAACAATACAAGTAGTTGCCACATTTCACTATTTTGTAGTGAGTAGTGTCTTTTAGGTCTATATATATTTATCTATCTCATCTGTTATTAGTGCGTCCATTGCAAATGGTTGAGATGGTTGAATTAACGTGATCCATTTTAACAATAACAATATTGTGCCAACAATATTAGTCCTAGTAAATTTTAATACTTGATGTTATCATGTTCAGATAACAAGCGGAAAATGGATGAGACTGATGCTTCGTCTGCTGTGAAAATGAAGAGAGGAGATATGAAGACGTCTGACCTCATCGTTTTGGGTCTTCCCTGGAAAACCACAGAGCAGGACCTCAAGGACTACTTCAGCACGTTTGGAGAGGTCATCATGGTTCAGGTGAGGGTTTTGAATTATTACCACTAACTCACGTTATATGTAATTACTAGAGATTTTATTATTTTCTTTGTAATGACTTTTATGCTTTTATGCTATCTCAGGTTAAACGTGAAAGGGGAGGTAACTCGAAAGGATTTGGGTTTGTGAGATTCGCTGAATACGACGCACAAGAGAAGGTGATCTCCCAGCGGCACATGATCGATGGGAGATGGTGTGACTGCAAACATCCAAATTCTAAGGTAAATAATGTAACAATTTCTGTGTAATTTTATATCACAATATTCAACACAGTATTTGACTGTTTAAATTGAGCTGGCACATTTGTATTGTTGATATTTAGACTATGGCATGTTTGAAAAATTTAGCTGATTATAAACCTAGTTGTAACATCTTGAAATGTAATATTATGCGTTATTTGGGCTTTAAAATTGCTAGAAGAATCCTTGCTTTAGAAATGCTCCAGAACCAGAGTTTGTCTGGAATTGGTCTAATACCCACAAGAGAGATTGTACATTGAAGCTTGTGCTGATTTAAACAAAGCAATTGTCAAAGCAAAATAAGACATGAGAAAATAGTCCTTGTTTGTAGTTACTTTGTAGATACAGATACTGGTGAGAAAACTGAGGCTTGGTTTGTAAATTGAACTGTCTTGATTTAATAACAGCAAGGTCCGGATGAGCCTCTGAGGAGCAGAAAGGTGTTTGTGGGTCGCTGCACAGAGGACATGACCACAGACGACCTGCGGCAGTTCTTCATGCAGTACGGAGAGGTCACTGACGTCTTCATCCCAAAGCCTTTTCGCGCTTTTGCATTTGTCACTTTCGCAGACGACCAGGTAAAATAGCTACTATGTGCCATTCGGATATTTCAACACATCTAACACGATTCTTATTGCTAGATAGATTTATGCCAGGATCAGCCCCAAAACCTGGACTAAACCAGTTTTACTTTTCACGAAAGTGTGACTAAAACCTTACCCAACTATATGGTCTACCGCACAAATATGATTTTCAGACCAAAAGAAGGAATTAACTTCATCCAAATTTAACTTAACTGGTAATCTTTTAGAATCCTGATAATCTGAACCATCATTTGTGAACCACTGATATAGGAACCAAAACTTGTGGTGGGTTATACGTTGTCAGTCTTATTTGTGCTAAAGTATTTATCTTTACCTTTCAGGTTGCCCAGTCTCTCTGTGGGGAGGACCTAATAATCAAAGGCGTCAGCGTTCATATTTCAAATGCTGAACCTAAACATGGCAATAGGCAGTATGACCGCACAGCCCGGTTTGGCAACGGTTTTGCTGCTCAAGCATTTGGTGGCAACCGCAGTGGGATAGGGAGCAGTACCAACAATAGTCTGGCAAATTTCAGTTCCTTCAACCTGAACCCTGCCATGATGGCGGCAGCGCTGCAGAGTAGTTGGGGGATGATGGGGATGTTGGCGAGTCAGCAGCAAACATCCAACTCTGGGAGCACCACCACTGGTACCACCACCAATAGAGACCAGAACCAGTCTTTCAATACAGGCAACAGCAACTACGGCAGCAGCTCAGCCAGTCTGGGCTGGGGTACAGGGTCTAACTCTGCGACTGGAGGGAGCGGGTTTAGCTCAGGGTTTGGGTCCAGTATGGAGTCAAAGTCGTCTGGGTGGGGTATGTAAGTTAAGTGATCATATGGTAAGTATTGTGAGAGAGAGTTTAGTTCTGGTGTAATGCGTATGTGAAACTTAACATTTTGTGGAAGATGTTTTTGTACATTTGAGAAAAATGCTAAAGATTTAATTTAGAAAGTGTCGAAGTGATTGTTTATGAGGATGTCCGACTTAAGTGCTATTTTTGATGTCTCATTTGTTTGTGTGTATCCATTTCAACTGGATTCTCTAATGCATGTATTGTGAAATGTTATATAATCATTTGAAAATGCATGAATGTCTGTAGCTCACCATTATCTGGCATTTCATCTCCTATGAAGGCAATCTTGCATTGGGAAGAATCTGGTTGAAACGTAAATGTTTTAAGTGCAACTTTATTTGCAGTCAAGTTCTGGAAAAGCCTTGATTGAAAATCTCTTCTGCAGTTCACCTCTCTTCCATTTCCCTGCGAGGAAGCTCCTCTTTGGCAGCATTCTTGGGGTGATATCGCGTTCATTGTCCCTCTCCCATCTGTAAATGCTATGCCATCACAGAACTTCACTTCGCATGTTCTGAAAGACGGTGGGTGTTTTCACTTTTATCCACTTTTTTAAAAACAGAATGGAGAGAACTGCGCAGCTGACTGACATTTTAAGAACTGAGTGCGTTGCGGATGACTTGTGGCGAAGAGTGAAGCAATGAGTGAGCGATCAGAGCGAGAGACGCGTGATACGGACTGGTTGTTTTTGTGCAGTGTAAGAGCCCAAATCTGACTGCTTTGAGTGTGTGAGTGGAAGCTGCACATGCTACAAGCGCCTCCCCTAACATGGACATTTAATAATACTTCAAGATATTTTTTTTTACCTTTTGCAAGTTTTCCTTACTCTCAAGTATGTCGATCAAGTGCAGAAATATCAAATGTAGTGGAATGTTGTGCTGAATATTTGTATTGCTTATATTATCTGATTTGAATGGTGTGTGCTTTTTATGTTCTTGCCCTGATCTGTAAGTGTGTATTGATGTGGGTGACACCTGTTGAAGACACTGGGGACGCGAATGTTATCGTGTGCGAACGTGGAGTGGTGTGTCCAATTGCTCCCCGTAGCTCTGTTGTTTGAGGTGTTAAAGAAAATGTCAAATGAAGGGAGTTGTTTAAATAAAGCTCATTTGAATATATGCTTATTAGTTGATATTACTTGAGTCAAATAAATACAATCTAATTCGATTCACATATCCAGGGACCTTGGGCTGTGCTGGTCGAGGTCTTGCCTGAAGGAGTCTGAAGGAAGAAGATGGAAGTTCCCACACTTTGAGTGAAATGGGGTAGTACCTGTCTCCTAACTGCTTTATGTGGCTTGTCCGTGATGCTGTGTGGTTAACCAGACTTAGGGTTAGGAGTGTTTAGGTTTGTCAATTGTATCAGTGTTTCATTTCCTTTTAAAGGTGCAAGATGTAACTTTTCTGATGAAGGGTATAGTGTTTGGCTCGTCTCTGTGGAGATGTTATTGATTTGCCTGTATTGTTGCACAGTATGTCATAGTATTTATTTTAAACTCCCAAGACTTGAAAAACGTGCATTCCCTGCTCCACAAATCTGGCCTGTAACTGGGCCTTGTGGTACCACATACTTTTCTCCATTGAGATGTCAAATTTAAATGCCCTACTATGGAAACGTCAAAGCAACAACCTTTCCGTGGAGACAAACCTTACATCAAAAAAGCTCAAGTGCACCTCTTAAAAGAAACTTCAGCAATCCAAAACTCCTGGATAGAAGTTAAGTCTTTATACATGGTAGACAGTGCCTAAAATTTTGGTATTAACACAAAGCAATATTTATAGCATCTTTTCTACCTAATGCAGTAACATAAGAATGTAGCTCCAATCTGAATCCAAAGTCCCCATTCAAAGAGTTGAGCAGAATAACCATGGGTAGTTTTCTTGTGTAAGTATTTTATTTACATGTTGATCTGAGGTGAAGTGTTCAGGGCTGCTTGTGCCTATAGTCCTTGGTCTCTGCTCTCCTCGGTGTCTTTACTTTTCCTCTTCCCAGTGCTCTTCTTTTCCTGGTTTAGTTCTTCACTTTTGTTCTGTATGTACATGGACTGAAAAATAAAGTTTGTGTTTTCAAAATGTGTCATTTTACTTTTTAAATCTAATAAGTAAAATTACTTACTAGAGCTGTGCTGCGACGAGCCACAAGTTTGACATCATCTGCAGACACAGTGGTTCTTTTTGCATGTCTGAAAAAGGATGAATTAGTTTTGTTTACATTTTATTTAAGAATACAAGCAAATTTTCAGGAACACTTTTGCATTTTATTCATCAAACATGTTAGTGAGTGGAGATAGGGAGTGGGTGAAAACAGAAATTTAAGCCATATCTTGAATGTAGGTCAATACATTATACGAATCAACTGAAATACAAATCAACAACATCAGTAAATGATGGATTAGTGAACAGTGTGGTTAAAAGCTCATAAATGTAGATTTTTACATAATATGCCATTTAAGATTAGCACACATTTAATACCTACCTGGCAAATGCCTCCAAGTCCCTGGCAAAGTTTTCTGAAAAAGAAAAACATAAATATACAATGTATATAGATATATATAGAATAGATATAGAATGTATTTAGAATAATTTCAAATAACATTTAGTGCTGGGGTTAATATTGAATAACTTATTAGATCTGACATACAAAAGGTAAATTTATGTTATTACACTATCTGTATTCAATATTAGGAGATGTTTAGAAGTAATATTCTTTTGACTACACTGCATTCTTACCACATTGTCTGAAAGTAGTCTCTGCTATAGCTGCGATGGTTTGTCGACTGAACTCTTTACTTTGCTCCTGTCCGATCTTCAGACACAGACGACCCACTGTGTAATGTACTGCTGCCTTCAACCTCTTTAATGTAAAGTAAATGAAGTTACAATCCAACAAAGAGAATCATTTGGAGGAATTACTTGATCTGACTACTAAAATGTCATGATAAGTTTCTACCTGGTGCGTCTCGTCTTTATCAAGGGACATGGCGTTTCGAAATGAAGAAATTAATTAAATAGAGCGAATGGAGGAATAGTTTGTACCGCTATTTAAACCAGAAAAGAAGCCAAATGATTACTTATTTTAAGGAGTAAAAACAAAATGAATCTCGCGGCAAAAACAGTGTCAACAAAAACGAATTAGCGCGCCCTCTTGTGCTCCGGAGGGTTTTGCACCGTTTCTATTTCAGTGCCATCTTGTGGTATAGAGCTGTAGTCTACACTTAAACTTCATACACAGTCTGTGAATCTACGCCATTGATTTATATGTGATTTATATGTATTATTTGTATAGTCATCAATATATCATTTAACAGTATAAAAATCACGGAAAACTTCCATGATGAAGCTTATTTTGATATAGCCTACTGAACAGAGTTACCCACTCCTACCCATGTCCTTTTTGTAGTCTTGATAAATATTGTTTCTTAACCTAATAGAAACTACCAAACATTGGGTAATAAAACTTGAAGAACCGAGACTAACCTGAGTACAGCTGCGTGTGAGTCTAATAATCTGATAAACGTATGGATCTGTAATAAGATCTTACACTTCCATAGATGCAGGACGGTGCTCCGGTTGTGTATCTGTTTATATTTGTGTTATGTATTTGTACCCGTGTCTCGTAGCTCCACACCAGTAACTCAGGTGAAAGTTCCGCTTCTTTCTCCGCCTCAGGTCTTTCTGCTTTTGGCTCGTATGCGGACAACAAGCCTGGGCTCACATACATTTATTAAATAACTGAGCTCTTGTGAGACAAAAGTACAAACCTCAGTTAAAAAAGACTATTAAAAAGCTAAAAAGATTATTATCTGAATATCACAACACGTTTAACAATTAACATGACAGAAAAACCTCAAAACAAGACAGGCTACCGGTTACCATAGCAACGGGGTCCGGTTCAGCTGACTGGGGTAGGACAGGTTTATGACTTTTCAGAAAAAAAAAAAAAAAATAATAGCCTATCCCATAAAACAATCAAGTGGGACTTAGTAAAGAAAACATTTACTCTGTCGTTTTCAACTTAATTAAAAATAAAGAACTCAGACTCAAAAGTGAAATCAAAGGCAATTTAAATGTATCTGAAATTTCAATAAATCACAAATCTGTTCACAGTCATCAAAAAAGGACACCTGGTTCTGTTTGAATCTTGTGAATCTGGAGGTCTGGTTCTTGTATTCCAGATGGCGCCACTGCTCGGGGTAAGTGGTTCTTGGGTTTTCCTCTGTAAAACTCAGTCAAAAGTCAAAAATTCACAAGTATAGCACAGCCGTCAGATTTCCCCATGTTGAATTTTGTTTGAGAAACATTTTTGTTTTCTTTCTAAATTCTACACACATTACACATTTTATTCAACATTATTGTATTTACAGATGTACTTTTTATTCTAGCAGCAGGAGGCATTTTGGCAATGACTGACTAAATCAAACCTATAAATATAACTTTAAAACTACAAGATAAAATACATATTTAAGTTGGTACAGTCAATATATTAAAGTGGCATGTTAGCAATTATATTTATTAAGATTTCTAATTTTATTTCCTGGTTGAACACGGACAGCAGATTCATAACTTACCTAGCAACCATACTGAGAAAAAGGCGTGTGTCTAAAATTACACAATAGTTCAATTATCCCTGCATTTGAAAGTTTTGATAACAGACGTATTCCTTTTTAGAACCACTATGTCCTTTATTTTTGTGCTTTTCTTTTCAACTTTTGTCCAGAAACTAACACAAAACTGATGTAAAACTATGATAAATATTCATCACAAGTAAATATCACCAAACCCAGTAAAAATAATTAGAAAAACCTGCCATACACACTTCAAGACCAGGCTACAAGAAGCAGGTTTTACGCCGAAGCAACCCTCTCCATTTATCCAGGCTGGGGACTGGCACAGAGGGACACACACAGCGCCCTCTGTGGCTGGATTAGACTCACCACCCGTGCTTGTACAGAGTTAGTGTGTTAGTAAGTGCGTGCAGACATACTCGCCATAAACAGCAGCCTTTGGACCCGTGAAGACTAGTTTAAAAGTTAAGTAAAACAGATTAGAGCTGCAATAAGAAGAGTCAGACTAGTTAGGGTTAGAACTGTCATTTCACAAGACAAACCTGAAACAGTTTTACAACATACACAATGGCAATATTAATATGAGATTTAACCTTTAACCCTGTAAAGTTAATACAATGTTTAAACAGAAATGTCAACATATTTCAAACTGGTTAAAATGAACAGACCCTGTGCAAATCTGTGGAAGAGCTGGATTAGGATACTACTATTAGACTCTCGGTTTAGTGTAAGGGTTAGGACCAGAACCATCACACTCTATAATGCAGTCCAAATTTGGCCCACGTTTAGACCAGTTCAGACCAAACCAAATATAAAACATACACACAACCCAGAGCTGAAGTCAGTTTTCAGACCTTTTTAACTCCAAAATGAAACTGTTGAAGGCTTAGTTTACAGTAAGTAATTTCAGTTTCACCCAACCATAATATGTTTTACCAGCCTGTTTAAATCTGACCCATATTTAGACCAGTCGAGGCATACACCAAAAACACACAATGGCCCAAGCCCAAGTGCAACCTGTGGAAATTATGGTGTAAACATTTAATCTGGCCTTTAGACATTTAGACATTTAGACCAGATTAGACTAAAAGAGACCAGCAGTCTCCAAAAAAGTGACCCAGCATTTAGAATATGGCCCACTTTCGAACCAGTTTAGACCTAAAACTAAAACCTTAGACTGTAACATAAAATCCTCAGCATATTCAGATTCACACAGAAATGTCACCTACCTGAGTTAAAATCTGCATGAACAGACCAATAAAACCTGTGAAACCTGCAGCAGTGAAAGATCCTTGTAAGATTATGTTGGTCACAAATCAAACATCAAAGGGTCAGAACTAATACATTCAGACCACAAAAAAGTGACAGAACACAAGGGCCTCAACCCTTGGACCAAAACTGGTCAAGATGAGTGGCTGAGCACTCACTCAAAGCAAGAAGGTTCCTTTCTGTGCAGAATCTGCACAGGTGTATGGCAGCAGCTCACTGCTCCTGACAGGCTGCCCCAGCAGCTCTTTGTTGATAATGAATGGGTCAAATGCAGAGGGAGAATTACCCTTAAAAGGGATTACTAAAATATATTTTATCTCAAGATTATTCCAAATGATGTGGGTTTTAAAAAGATGTGCGCTTCTCCATTTGGTTACATTTTTTTGGTCTTTCCTTCCTTTGGGCTCCCATCAACATTACATGAGTGAGGTGTAGGATTTCACTTTTGAGCACAAATCCCATAAAAAAAGTTTCTTTGCATTAATGACTTTAGAATCCTATTTTTTGTTGTTTGGTTTCCTCTCTGTCCATATTTTTTATTTTTTTTTTACACATGTCTCCGTTCTTTAGTGTTCAGTCCAGGGCTGTTGGTGCAGTTTGTGTTCGGGATTCTTCACCTTGGTTCGGTCCTTTATTTACCATTAGAAGGATAATGGATAAAAGGATAGCAATATTCCCGCTTTCATCCATTTTCTTCTGGGATTAAGTTAATATGTTAACTCACCACGTAGTTACATTCGTTAGTCACCACATAGCTGATAAGAGACTGAGATTTCAAACTTTTAATATTGATTTTTTTTTTTCAGATTTTTTTTTTTTTTTTTTTTTCAAAATTCCAAATTGGGACACACCGGGATTAGGATGGATGGTATAAATAAAATTGTCAAAAGAGCGTGTAACATTGTGAATTCTCTGAGGGACTTTTATCTTTTTTTTTTTTTTATGGTCATTAGCTAACATGGTTTTCTTTATTTTGGCAAAACAAATGTCAATGTATGCTCCTCTTTACTGTTACCGGGGATCAAATTAGTTAAATATTGTGATAGTCCTGTTTTAATCCTAGTTTAATCTTAGTTTAGTCCTGGTGTACAAACGCACAATTTGATTCACTGCTCACACCCAGCTCCAACGTCAGCAAAACTACAATAAGAGGCGACAGTCACAACACGAACACACGGCACCAGCGCCGCTCCTACCGCACACGACAGAACAACCAGAGCAGCTCCGTCGGCTCCGAGCTCAGTTACGCACTATTTAACTATTAACACTATTGACCTGTGAAGCTCCGCTGGCAGATTTGCCCATAACTAACGAAAACAAGCCTCTTCTCCAGGGGACTGATGCTGAGCATCTCCTCAACCCACTGCCCTGTTGTTAGTTGTCTCCAATATGAAGAGATGAAACTGGTCCCGGTCCAGTCAAGTTCGCGACACAATGTCCGGGAGCTGAATGCACGAGCTGGTTGTAAAACTAGTCTTAATCTCACTTCCCATTTCAATCTTAAAGTTACAGCCAGTCCATATTAGCACTAGGGCACCAGGTAGACTTAAGACCTAAAACCTTTACGCCCAGCAACAGGCGGGCGGAGGCGGATAGAGCAGCGAGCGAGTGCCTCCGGCCGCAGCACCCCCGGTGTCTTTAGGACTCCCCTCGTCTCTCCAGTGTGGAGGTTTAGGCGAAAGTTGCTAGCCAGTGTGTGAATCAACACAAGAGCCGTAGGATTTCACCAGATGCATTCATTTCAGCCTTGTGCCTTCTCTTCAGGGTCCCGCTGAAGAGAAGACATATTACTCCCTAAAAACTGTTCCTCGGACGTACTTTGACTTGAAGTTGAACTTGCCATAGCTGTATAGCACACAGCTCTATTGTTATCCATTCAGGTCACCCTACAGCCCCCAAGACGTATTTTACGGCTGTAATGTAAAATAATGGGCAGAAGCAATGTAATGACGTCAAATTTTCTGCAAACTTAAGGCATTAAGTCGCTTTGACCCAGTGCACCCAAATGCCAAACACATGATGACTGAAAGTGGTATGAGCACATTTAACATGATAAAAATATCAGATACACGGTCAATTTTAAACAAAATATTAAACATATAGCCTAATACAAAATAACAACTTTATATATATATTTTTACATTTATTTATTTTTTATCTAGGTCAAGTTAGGGAGTGCCTCTATAGACCAGCTGCCATTTGATTCACTTTTATTTTATTCTACTTGTATATATACATAGTATTCCCTTTGCTTTATTTAATATATCATTTACTATTTTTTATAGTTAATTATTTTTATTTTTGTGCAAACTACTGTGTCCAAGTAGTCTAAATTTCCCTTGTGGATAAATAAAATATGTCTAACTATGTGTAAGAAGTCTAAAACATTATCATTTTGAACCCAACCCAGAGTGAATTTAGTCTTTTCATAAGCCTATCTTTTTTATTTATCTCCCTATGCCCAGCCATGTTAAAAATACAAGGCATATTGAACAGTAGACGAGGCTGTATACTTGGTCTAGTGGCTGCTGCGTGGTGAAATACTATACTCACCGGCTGTACTGAAGCCACTTGGGCTTTAGAGTTGATTAAAATGGACACTTGTGTTGCAAAAGAATAGGACAAGGATATCCATGTTCCTTTACTTTCTAATTCTTATGGCTTACTTTTGGCTGCAGACAGTTACCAAGAAGTCAGAGGCTCAAATTGTAAGTGTATTTAGTAATTTTTAGACTATAAAATATTGGTGTAGTTTTAAATATAAATCAGTTGATTATTATTATCAATTTTACAGCCAAATAGTCAATGCCATGTTTACTGCACTTGTCCTGGGACCACAGCTTTATGTCTTGTCAAGGTGATCATATGGCTGGCTTGAAAAAAAAAAAAAAAATGTACATACTATTATTTTTTCTTTTCATTTCATCCTCATTGTATTTATGTATTTATGCAGACCAAAGTCTTCCAGATATTGCAAAGAGCCTCTTCTAAATAACCTCTCAGCTTCTATAGTGCTCTCTTGCATAGCTGCAGGTAAGGGCTTATGATTTGATTACATGGATTAAAATGAGGGTTCTGTTGATTATTTTATTTATTAGCTTATTATAATGTTATGTTGCTCAATCATGCCACTATATTTTCCAACAACACAAAATCAGTAGTAGTAATCAGTAGTATCTGTCAGCTCTAACAAGGTTCCCAAATATTTGTGTTCATGGAAATGCACAGCCTGTGATAGTATAACATATACTCACAACAGATACATAAATGAACTTCTTATAACCATTTTACCACTTCCTCACTGTATGTAAGATAACAGTTTATTACTCCATAGGCCTATATAATTGTTGCATATCATTTTATTATCATTAGCCACAAAGTGTATGGGTTTCTGAACCACTCATTTTACTATAGCAATTATTAACAAAATATGAATGTATTCAAAATTTCACCCAAAAGAAAACTGAACGGCATATTAATGCATGTATATTTTCTTTTTAATTGAACAGGTTTTTCGGTTGTATTTACATTGTTGGAGCCAGTCCCTTTAAGTGTGTGGAGGTGTTATTACATGTTTGGACTTCTGTCATTTGGGCACGGCCTAAGCACTGTGATCTTAACCTTGACAGCAGCATCATGTGTACGCAAAAGTATATATTTAATCTTTTACTCTGTTTTGATCAAAAGTTAATAACTGCTCTCTCTGCATAGGCAAAGACCACCCCTGAGTTGTATTACATGTCCTTGGTACTGACTGTGGTTTCTATCATAAGCACAGGTGAGATTTTTTTGTTTGCATATCGGTCACTTGCTTATTCCCATGGAGATGTTTTTTGTAAACATGAGTATGGCATTCCATCCATCTATATTGTATTTAATAAATGGTGTGTTTTTATTACTCAAAATGACCATGGAATATATTCATTCTTATTGTGTTAGGTTTGCCTCTCCACTGATCTGACCTGTAACTTGGCATTGCCTGCTTGTCTCCATGAACATAGATTAAATACATTACTGTCAAACTGAGAAACCATTAATATCTCCATGGAGACAGTCTACCATAAAAGTTACATAACCTTTAAATAAATATTTACAGCAAGTGCACTGTGAACTAAATAAAATCAAATTGATGAAGAATAACTTAATTTGATTTAATTAAACTAACAATCTAGTCCTTGCCACATGAATGATTTAATCCAATTTCTTAATTTGTTTTATATCCATCCATACAACACCTCTTGCACTGTGTGACCTGATATTTCACAGTACATACTTAACCTTATCTTAACCCTGTTTCCGTTCAGGATTTTTGGTGGTGAAATGTGCTCTGTGGCTGATCAACAGGCTCGACGAGGACAACGAACAGGAAGTCACCTCCGCTGCACCGCCTTGAAACCATAGAAACACGATCTTCCCTATTAAGCTTTAATGCAGTCACCATGCCACCACTCACTGTAACTTCAAACCATGGGAACAGAAGAAAGGGAAAGCAACTTAATCCTTCTCACGTTTTGATCTTCACTTGACAAAAGCAGCTGTTTTTTATTAGGTTTATGAACTGGAATTTGAACTGGGAGTAAATAACGAAGCACAGAGGTTAAACAAATCAAAAATTAATCTTGTGATAATGTCGAAACCATTGTTGAAACATGAGATTGAGAATGAAGACGGAAACAGCGCATAATGAGAATATAACTGCATTTATTGCTGGTGCATTTGTGTATATTCCAAGAAGAGGTGGAAAACGTACAAGATAACATTACCCAAGTTTGTTTTATTTACTTATTTAACCCTTAAAGAAAAGTCAGTGCTTTGTGCAACCAAAATTTGCCAATCAAGGATCATTATATTGTTTGGAGACTAGGGCTGCAATTTATCACATACTGTTAATATTTCAAATATGTCTTGTAAGTATTTCTGGTCATACTGAACTCAATCTTCACTTTAAAACAAATATTTCAGTTTTAATTTCAATTTCTAGTAACAATTCTTGCACTTGAGTAAAGCTTTGTGTATTTTTTCCACCTCTCTCCTTATAAGTGAGTTCACAAGGTTCATTTGGTTCTTGCATAAAAAATATATTCTTAATTGGAACAGTGATTCTCAGCTGGTGGATTGGGTCCCAAATTAGGTCACAGTGAGGTTGAGCTAGAGTTTATTCAAAATTTTAAGATGAGTGTAACAGTTTTACAAATGTCACAGTAAAATGTGTACTTTAAAAATAACTTTGGTCCTTTAGTCACAATAAGGCAATTAAGGATCAACACCAAAACAGATGAGAACCACTGCTGTTAAGTCTCTTGTGAAAAACGATGTAACTATATGTAAACAGTCACAGTTTGTAAAAGATAGTCATTTTGCATTATATAAAAGTCCAAGATTACACAGAAAATGTATGTATATGTAAAAATACACACAACTTCCTGAGATTTAAAGAGCACCCACATCTGTTTTGTTCCTTTTAAGTTTTACGAGGACATATGCTCAAACAATCATTTAGCACTCTTTACTCAAACCCGTCTCAACCATTAAAACTCAGCAAGCACTCTCACACTTTGTAAAATATATTCATTTGTCAAATCCACGGCAAAACTTCCATTTGGAGCAAATCAAAGTAGCATTTAGTGGATAATTCGGTTTACTGTCCTATAAATCTACAAGCTCAAAAGTTCTTTGGAATTGTGAATAAATGACCTACAAACATCTGTTTTAAAATATAATAAACTTAAAATTTGTCCAAAATACAGTATATTTCTTTTTACCATGTCATTCAACACCTCATTTGCTTTAATAAAATAAATTATATTTTCTTAAATATTTTCACCAATACTGTGATGAGTTGCAATAAGAACTGGTAATGACACATTTATAAAACATTTGAACCATAAATGCAAATTCAGTTTTAATGCTTCAGTTCAGTCAGCAACTACTCAACTGGCAACTGGCCAAATCATTATACTTCTTTTAAACTGAGAATATACTTTTCTTTTAGTTTGCACTGGGAAGTAACTGGCAGTGGATAAATTATTTCTCACAAATATAGTTTTTGATGAAAACTTTGTTCCATATTTTCCAGCACCTATTTATGAATACATACAGCAGTTTAATTTCTTGTGCACAATGTAACTTTTCTACTAGTCTGTGTGAAGATGTTATTGCTTTGCCTAGAATGTTCCACACTACGGCAGTGAACTTGGGTGACTCCATAGCGACTAGCAGGCGACACCACTAGGCCAAATTACAAGTCAGATCTGTGGAGAGGCAACCACACTTGCAGTAAGAATGCTTGTGGTTTTGGGCAATAAAACCCCCGTAATTAAAAAAATACAAAGATGCAATTATAATCTCATACTGTGGAACATTCCAGGCAAAGCAACATCCTCTTCATGGACACAAGCAGATGGCAGATCATCCAACAGAAAAGTTGCATAGTGTACCTTTAATACCTAAAATTTCCGATGTTTACCCTAACAATGCCTCATAGTCTATGTACCAGATCAGACTGCCACTGTCTGGCTTCACCCAAGTCACGGGCCACTGCGTTGTCTCCTCTTTCACTCTGCTCAGCTGTATTACTGCCTCGTGTTTATATTTTCCTATTAATAAAATTGCCACTTTCTGTGCTCGGTTTATTGCATTAAAAGTTAGACTCATTCTCTGGTGAGGTTTTACTGGGCTTTCTGTTAAAACAACGAAACTTTCCCCATGATGCTCTGGTTTAACTCCTGGAAATAGAGAGGCTATGTGACCATCATAACCAACACCTAATAAAACAAAATGAAATCTAGAGGCATTAACGAATTTCTTGATCTCCTCTTCATATAACCAAGTTCCTTTGTCTTCTTCCACGCAGAGGCGTTGGTTTAGCTGAACGGGCATTGGGTGTATATTATAATATGGTATCTTTACATGTTGGAGTAGGTGGTCATGGAGGCTATGAAAATTCGATTCAAATTCATTTAAAGCTACACAGCGTTCATCCACCATCCAAACGTGCGTATCTCTCCACGGAAACGCAAAATGGTGCAAAGCCAGTCTGTGAAATAGCGCCAATGGAGACGCCCCGCCTGATACCGCTAAATGAAAAACTCCACTTTCAAGAATAGCCTTCTCTGCTGCTTCTTCTATGTCTGATGCTAGCTTTTCTATTAGCTCTTCCGTCCACCCTGAGACCATTTCATCATTCCGAAATTTGCCCTGCATGATTTGGACAGTATTAGCAGTTTGTCCACCTTTTTGATCATTGTTAATTAGAACCACTTCATTGATATAGTTCAAGTCTCTTCCTTTGAGTAGGATGTCAAGCATGTCCTTGTTTGCATCACCTCCTGGATAAATTCGTGGGAATGTGTTGGTGATGCTAGTTAAAAGCGGGGTCCAAAAATCCCAAGAGGCTAGAAGATTTTCTGTACTGACAAAACTATTTCTTCGTCCAGCTAATATATGAGAAATCAACTCTGTGTAGGCTTCCTTTTGGACTTTTGGTGTTTGTACATAATAGTCTGAAATAGGCAACCCTAAAACTGTAACATTTTTATCTTCATGTTCAGTTACTTCTTTCCATTCGTTGTCAATAACACCTGGTTTGAACAGATTTTTGCTCACAAGGATTGCGGGGTACTTCAGGTTGCCATGTCCAAAGTAGAAGACTATCTGTTTGGGTTTGCAGTGGACGCTGTTTTGATTTTGGAGACAGAAGACGTTGTCCTTAAAAAGCACCCGGGCATAACCCACTCGCTCGTCCAACTGTTTTCCTGAGATCATGAGAATTGGGACATCTTCGTATTGGGTCTCGTCGATATGGGCCAGGACAGCTGAAACACGTCAAATACAGATCAAGTTTAAGAGTGGGCAATAATGACAGAAAATCACCTCATGTTTGAAATTAGAACCCTTTAGAACCCTAACACGTTGACATTATCTTGTTGACTATACAATGTCCTTAAATAGAAACACTCACATTAAACAAACAGGACTTTCCACTGTCATGTATGGCATTTGAGTGAATAAGTTGTATTGTAATCTAATATCTTTTATCTTCCTGAACAGTTGAAAGACGCCTGTATGCAAATCATTTCCGATAAAAAGTAAACTCATTGTTATTGCACTATAAAGAAAAGCAAATAAAAGCCAGTTTCACTGTCACCAGGATCCAGGTGCGTGACTGAGACACACCCTTGGTCACTAATGAATCATGACTGTATTATCAAGTATAAAAAATATATACATTTTTGCATATGGAAGTTGTTTTGTGTTTAGAAGTTGCTAATTGTGTAATGATTTGCTAATTTTTAAGCCAGATGCCCTGTCCCAACTCATCTGTACATTACTGTGACTGGTATGGAATGGTCTCCTCAAACGATTAAACTGCACTGAGACACAAGTATCTATCTCTCTATCTCTCTATCTATAAGTGTTGCCTTCTGTTATTTGTTCATTGCAGTTTGTGTATATTAGTTATGTATTTATTGAACATTTTGAATACTTTTTCAGCGATAATTCTGCTGTATGGTTTGGTTTCAGTATTATTTATTTATCATCTATATTTACTTCAGCTGTACTTACAGTGACAGCCCTAGCACCACCATCGTCATTTGGGTTGTATTATTTTGCATGGGGCTTGACCTCAAATAAGTTCTATATGAACTACAAAGCTGTTTTAAAGCTTCCCAAGAGAATCACTGCAGTGTTGACTCACTGGTGCACATGAACATTGAACATTCTATACAAATCAACCAACTTTAAATAATACTTTAGCAGCAAAACCTCTCACAAATTCTTCATTTTAAATGAATGGAATTCATACTTCACCCGAAGTGCCACCACAACCACGAGTGTGGTAGCATTTAGAGGAAGTGGTCGGGGCGAAATAAATGACTCTGGTTATCTTTTTTTAATCTTGTGTATTATGTCATTTTGATGTCTATTGCACCAGACGGCATCCTCACAAGTCTGGTCTAGTAAAAAATTATCATTAAGAATCTTGAATCATTCCCACCTAAAGTGCTACAGACCTGCAAACGTGGGAGTCAGACTGACGTGTTCCTTGGTTTTGTTGAGCTCTTGTTGGACCTCTCTCTGGTAGGCCTGGTACTGTCCGATCACCGCCTGGTTCTTACTCAGGGGCAGCAGAGATGTGAAAATATTAAGTTTGTTCGTGAGCACCTCCTGGCTGTTGCTCAGGTTCAGTGGTAGTCTCATTGTTAGCAGGGTCATGACCTCCGTGAGATGGTTCTGCAGAACGTCTCTGATCACTCCGTACTGGTCATAGAACGCTATGCGACCTGTCAGAATTTTTTAGAATAATTTCAAATAGAGAGAAGTGGGTAGAGATAAGGAAAAGGTGAAAACTGAAATTTTCTGACCCCTCAAAACTCAAATGCAGGATAATAAAGAATGATCAGTTTTATCACAATCCTTAAACTTAGTCTTTATACATGCTATAAAGCATATAACTAGACCATGTTTTAATCCAACATTATTCAGTTTTTCTACTAACCTTTCACATCAAGTGTTTCTTTTAAAACGATTTCCACTCTTTCGATGAAGTATTTATTCCACATTGGGTCGAGGTGCTTCTTGTTCTGCATCCTGAACTGAAGTATGTTTGCCACCACCTTCACAAGAAAACATGCCAAAAATGAAATACAATGAAACTCCTACTCTGCATTGATAAAACGCCAAGCAGTGAGATTTAGCCAAGTGAGTTTTTTGTTTTATTATTTGATTGTAGTTACACAGAAAAATGGCATAGGTTAAACTGTTGGTAGAAAAATACCAATGGTTTTTACAATAATTTTTTTTTTTACCTATTTGCGGCATCGGCATCATGAAAATCATCAGATGAATTAATACAAAAATTAGCTAGCTTGTCTCCATTGACATGTTTTTGCTTTTCCTGGAATGTTTCGCAGTATGGCATTTAACCCATCTACAGTCCCTGACAAAAGTCTTGTCGCTTATCCATTTTGTAGAAACAAAAGCTTATAACCTGACTTTAAATTAATCGATTGGTTTTAGAAATGTCTCATATGAAAGCTAAAACCCTCCCAAATTATGCTTAATATACTAAAATAAATTTGCTTCACTGAAGAAAGATTGATCATTTAATGAACACAGAAAGGTCAGATTTTGACAAGACAAAAGTCTTGTCGCATTGTCATATGATGCACCCAATCCTAGATTACAGCCTCACCTGTGATCAGTTACTGATCAATCAATTAGTGGGTGTGTATAAAAAGAACCCCAGCACACCAGACCTTCACATCAACTGCAACTTGACCTCTGACAACATGCCTAAGATCCACCCTGAGCCCAAAGCGTTAATTATCAAGAGGCTGAAGACCAGATCCACTGCTGAGGTGGCTGACACCTTCAATGTGTCTCAGCGTCAAGTACAAAGAATAAGAAAAAGATCTGAAATGACTGGAGATGTTTTTGACAAGCCCAGGTCCGGCAGACCCCCACAAGACAACTGCTCGGGAGGACCGTTTGTTGATTCGAAAATCCAAGGCCAGCTCCTTTTCCACTGCAGCAGACTCCACCAGGCCTGGTCACCTCAAGTCCCTGTGTCAACCACAACAGTTTTTGTAGAATTCTGTCTCGAAATGGCCTCCATGGTCGAATCAGTGCACAGAAACCAGCACTAAAGAAAAGGCAATTAAAAAACCGTGTGGCATTTGCCAAGGCCCACAGCCTGCTAAAAGGATGGACACTGGAAAAGTGGCAGAAGGTGGATTTCTCAGATGAATCCTCGGTTGAATTACATCACAGCCGCCGCAAATATTGCAGGAGACCTACTGGAGCCCGCATGGATCCAAGATTCACCCAGAAAACAGTTAAGTTGAGTGGCGGAAAAATCCTGGTCTGGGGTTACATCCAGTATGGGGCTGTGCGAGACATTTTTGCAGGGTGGAAGGCAAATATCAATAGCCTAAAATATCAAGAAGTATTAGCTCCTCTTACATTCCCAACCATAAAAGGGGTCAAATTTTGCATCAGGATGGTGCTCCATCGCATACTTCTATCTCTACATCAAAGTTTCTCAAGGCGAAGAAGATCAAGGTGCTCCAGGACTGGCCAGCCCAGTCACCAGACATGAACATCATTGAGCATGTCTGGGGTAGAATGAAAGAGGAAGCATGGAAGGCAAAACCAAAGAATCTTGATGAACTCTGGGAGGCATGTAAGACGCTTTCTTTGCTATTCCTGATGACTTCATCAACAAATTGTATGAATCATTGTTGAACCGTGTGGATGCAGTCCTTCAAGCTCATGGAAGTCATACAAGATATTAAATATGGATCTCACAGCACCACGACTTCATTCACTGACGTTATGCAACATATTTTTGTATTTGAAGTAAATTATTTGTTCAATTTTCTGTAGGCGACAAAACTTTTGTCTTGCCAAAATCTGACCTGTGTTCATTAAATGATCAATCTTTCTTCAGTGAAGCAAATTTATTTTAGTATATTGAGCATAATTTGGGAGGGTTTTAGCTTTCATATGAGACATTTCTAAAACCAATCGATTAATTTAAAGTCAGGTTATAAGCTTTTGTTTCTACAACATGGATAAGTGACAAGACTTTTGTCAGGGACTGTATCTCTTTGCACAACAAGAAGACCAAGACCAAGACCAAGCCAACTTACAGTTACACATATAGTGAGGCGAGCCCAATCAAAGCGAAAATGCCTATTTTTCTAACAAAAATAGTAATTGTAATCATTGTATTTTGCTATAGTATTTTAGGTAGGCATTGCATCAGAATAGCTTCTGTGTACATAACTTTACCTGTTTTCCCAAGTAATGGTCGATTCTATACATTTCCTCATCCTTTAGCGAGGCTCCCAGTTGTGTTGCTAACACTTGTGCACTTTTAAAATCATGCCCAAAAGGTTTTTCCAGGACCACTCGTAGCCACGCTCCCTTTGACGGTCTACAGGTACTATTGATCCTGTCTGCAATCTCTGCATAGGCAAAAGCAGGCACTGAGAGGTAGAACAGTCTCCCTGCTTCAACCATCCCCTCTTGTTCGAGCTTCTTTTGAATGCTTTTAGATAGATCTTGGTAATCTTCTAGAGTCTTAAGCTGCTTGTATTTTGACAGACGCAAGAACTGTTCTTTAAGTATGGCACAGCGCTCTTTTGAAACATCTTTAGAGCAGTTTAAGCTCTTTAAAATCTCAAAAAGCACAGGAGTGGACTTGTTGACAGGTGAGAGTCCTCCACCATAGAAGGAAAAACTGTGCCCACTGCTGACTTGGTTTATGTAGAGTTCGAAGAATCCTTGCCACAGGTATTTGCGGGCCAGGTCTCCAGTGCCCCCCAGTACCACCACAGACACGTGCCCAGGTTTGTGAGCCTCATCCTGGGCAGCGGTCACACACAGAGGGGCCAACAGCAGCAGCACACATAGGAACATGCCTAAATCATCCAATGACCTGAGAAGAGGAAAAGAAGACATTAGTCATAAGATAATTCTGTATAACATGACTAAAAGGCTTACATGTAGGAATGGGACAACATGGGTAACATGGGGATGACAATAATTGTTTATGGTGCATGAACTGCATTTGCAGTTATATGGGATAATCTACATTTCTCAGTGTATACCCTTAATTAAGCAACACATTGTGAGGACAAGCACCAAGATCCTCCAGGACAAATTACACCCTATGTTCTCAAATTTGTCAACTGCAGGTCACATTTGTCCTGAAGGCTGTTTCTCTTGTCAATCAGACCGCCCTGACACGAGACCACCCGTCTTCCCTCCTGATCCTCCATGCCCCATTCTCCTGTTCAATTCTATATCAAGACTATTCCATGTGTTTAAATTAGCCCTGGGGGATAAATAAAGTTATTTGACCAATTGCTTAAACTTGCTTGTCATATAGTCAAGGAAACATATCATCTTAAAAACTTAAAAATCACAGATTACTTCAAATATACATAGTGAACTAAAGTAAATCATGACAATCATAAAATAAGCAAGTTTAGTTCATTATTTGTCTTCATTCTTTTGACATTCAGTTTTTTTCCTCTTTCCTTTCATCTGCCCTCATAAAACACACAGTCAATGTTTTCAACTTTGTCACTATAGCAGCATATTAGGTTGCTGAATGAGGGACTATTTTAAACATAACCTATTGTAACTGTGCAAGCATCAATGCACCACCTTTATGCATTGACAAATATAAAACATTACTTTGAAACCAAATTCTTCACAATGTAACCTTGAAAATATTTACCCAGTAAATATCCCAAGTTCAAACTATAGAATAAAAACAATAACATAATAGTGAAAATACCTATAGAAGTCTTCTCTTGGGATCTGCACTTATGTCCACTTATGCACAGCTGTGTTACTGTCATTTGTGTGCTGAGGGATATTAAACAGTCAGTATTAGACTTTGCACTTTGCTCGAGGGCCTGTCTCAATACAAGGATTCTACTGTTGATAGTGAAGTCTGCCCCGCAGCTCATGGAGTGATTTGGTAAGGTCCTAAAATAACTGTGCTAGGAAGTCCTGTGGTGCAAATCAATTGTTTTTTAGGTTAAATGATAAAATCCCAAATGAACAATGTGGAGTTAGGTAAGAATAAAAAATAGTTCACCTTTCCTGCTTTTTATTTTCCACACATCATACACTTGTTATCGTTATTAATAAGGGATGGTCCAATATTGATTTTTTTTACCCGATACTAATATTTGGCTTCCTGTTCAATAACCAGTATTTCCTGTAAATCCATAGTAAAGATCCACAAATGTATCTTATATTGAAGTAAAGATCACAAATGAACTTTTCCCTTAATAATAATTAGTAGTAACATTTGTGTAGATATAAATAGCCACATTTTTTATTGTTCTTCAATTCTTACTTTTACTTATTAAAAGACAAATATGCACTGAGCACAATCTGGGAATGTCACATGGGCACATGACTGAGACTGGTGCAGCGCCCCAATAATAGTAGTGCCAAATATTGCCCCGAAGATGTAATGATGCCATTTTTTCTGGAAATTATGTTTCTATGTCATGTAAAATCAACAATTTTGCAAAAACACTCACAAAAACACATTTAAGCCATCATAAACGGCTTTGCAAAGACATTTCAGGGATAAGTGCTCTTTCTGTTGAGCCACAAAACCACCATGATGCAAGACCTGTTAAAGCACAAGCATTATTGACTTTGTATTGAGGAGTCCATCCATTGTTCTCTGATCTACATCCTAAATCATTCACAAAATCCCCTAAATTACACTTAATAATTATTAATGATTACATGTTTAAATCCATGGTGGCATTCTTCTCATGGCTCATGTTGAGAGTAACGTCAGGGATCCTAATCTTTCACCACCACATTTACACAGTGGTCAAATGCAAACAGCCACAACTTTCTCGTAAATACAGCCCTGTTCAACTTTAGTTCAGGTCAAAGGGTTAGAGTGGGAAATGTCCGTATTACATCATATTTTCACATAATACACACACTTGTTGTATTCATATAATTTGTAAATAAAATAAATGTAGGTAAATATTATGTAAAATATTTAGTTCATAAGTAATTAATTGACTCCACATGAGGTCTACCATCAGCCCTCTATCTGCAAATGTATGAGGACTCAAAAACTGTAGTTATGTCGTTGAAATTAGAAAAGAAATTTGTGTTTCATGAGTATGGACCATAGGACCCAGCCTAATACTCCACAGGGACACTAAGAGCTGCAAATTTAGAAGCAGAGGAAAATAAATGCTTCTTCTGAAAGTTCACATTTCACTGTGATTAGTCAAATCCACTTGTCACTCACTCAAAGCCTACAGGGGCTCAAAGATTGCAAAACATGTCACAAGCATAACCCTGAGAGGTTTGTCTTTTGCAAACTAATTGATTAATCAAAAGAATGATCACTAGATTAATAAAATAATCCTCAGTTGCAGCCCTACTACCATCAACTTCAATTAGTTAAAAATAAAACTTAAAATCAATTATTCGCTAGTTTTATAGTTTTGTATTATGATCACATGTTTGCTTTTTTAAACATATAAGTAATAATAATACATTATTAAATGAAAAAAAACAACAACTTTCAAATTAGCATATCTATACATGTACAAAAACAAAGGTATGATAAATTTATGCTGACTGAAAGTTATAGACAGAAGACCCTTTTTGTTATGGCATCTCTCTATACAGTCTTAAGAATAAGCTTCTATATCATCTTAATGTACTAGGACCATAGACAGTAAAACATGTGTTTCAGGCAATGTAAAGGAGGTGATCTTGCCATTTATGTTAAAGATCGCCTGTCTGTGGACCTTCTATTCTTCTGCCAAAATGTTTTGAATATCTGTTAGCTATGTAAATGACTGAGATAAATATGGTTTTGCAGGTATTTATCATGCACCTTCAAATGGTACACTGAAAGAGTCACCTATGTTTGTTATGCTTTAGCTTTTTGAAAACGTATCCTTTAAAATGCATATCTTATCAGAAAATAAACTGTTAAAGCAACCTTTCTTTCTGTACTAGATTATGGAGCTATAATATACATGCAGACTTCACTCTCTACTTTGAAACCTTTAGACACTCTCTTTTACTCAGCACTTCGTTTCATAATACGCAATGAGTTTAAAACTCTATGAACAGTAGGCTGGTCATCACTATCTAGCAAAGAGAACAACACTATAAATGTACTTATAGGGGACTACTTGATAGACTGCCTGAATATCTCACTTGTGTGTTGTCTATGTGTGATATGGGAACTTTGAATACAAGATATCAAGATCTGCACTAAAACTGAAATGTGAAAAAACTTTTAGTTCCACAAATGGAATACATTTTGAGGACATGCAAAACTGGATACACTGGTGCCACTAATCCACTTTAATAATAAACATTTATAATCACACCTGCACCTGTTATAAATAGACCTGTGCAGTTATTTGCTTTGTTTGATTTTTGTATTGTACTGTATTTTAACCGGCCGCTCATGAATAAGAGAATGAGAGAGTCTAGTACTCATTGCTCATTGGACCTCTCCCTGTATAAATCAAGATAAATGAAAACAATAAATGAAATGTCTAATGTGAGCCCTGGAGCTTATAGTCTATTATACAGTCTGAGTGGTGGTATTAAACCACAAAACTATAAAACTCTGTTAAGTTTTAATGATCCATGGAATATGAATATAAATTTAATTTTGAATGGCAGATATTTCAGTGGTATGTATTTAATTAACATCATTTCATCTGCCAACAAATAAACATAATATCTTATAAATATGTATAAAATAAGACAATCCTGTAGTCAGAATAGAATCCCACATTTAAAATACATTACAAATCTAATCGAAACATTTATTACAAAATAAAAACCTTATTCTCCCACGTGTAAGCACTATCATGGTGTTGCATGTGATGTCAGTTCAAAAGTAAAAACTCTAAGGACCTGAAGAAACCAAAATAAAGATTAGGGTGAAGGACCAAACTTTCATTAATCTAAGCCCTATGACATTATGTTTTCCATTGTCATGTCTAGTTAGTCAAAGCAATTTGTCAGTGCATTGTTCACACACTGATTTTAAAAAAAAAAAGACAAACAATAATACAAAGTAGGTTACTAGACCTATCCTGTTTAAATACAAAGTCATAGAGAGTTTTCTGCAGACACCAGTAAAACCGGTTTTGTTTCTACCATTAGTTATTGTGTCTAAATCAAACTTCAGTCCAGGTCAATGAACGGGGGAACAGCCAGGAACATTTCTAATCATTCACTAATCTAATGCCTTTTGGTCTTATGTTAGCTTGTGGATGACGAATTAACAAAAGCTGTGGGACAATCTTGGCTATTTGGTTGGCTACTTTGAGTCTCTGGCTTATAAAAGCTCACTCTGGATGTTTAAAGTTATATGATATTGCATTGTTGAGCTGATCCACCTGCACGCGCTGTCATTCATCCACTTCCGCTATAAACATCACTCACGTCTCGATGCTATATGGCTAAAATACGCCATTGTGCGTGATCAAAACCACAGCAGCTCGTACCAACAACACGTACACACCGATATGAGCGGACAACAGACAATTTTGTTGAAATATTGTGTAAATACGAACCAGTTTCTGAGCGATGCGTTGAAAGTAACGTGGATCTGAAGCGCTTCCGACCCCGGTCACGTGACTCGCTGACGCAGCAGGACGCCCCCAGTAGAGGCCAAAGGGCAGCGGGCTAAAGTAAAAAGAGGGATTATTTCCACAAAGAACTAAAGATATGCGTAAATATTGTGTTTATGAGGTCTAGATGGATACACCTTTACCTTTCATATTTGTTGTATTTAATGTGTATCTAAACGGCTCCAGCTGTTTCAGGAAGAATAATTGGCAGGCTTTCATAGCCTAAAACTTAATTGGTAAAGAGATTATTGCAGAATTAACGCAATAAAAACAGTAGCTCTCAAATTTTTCACACTAATTACCACCTCATAGATTTAGTTTTCAGACTATCACCAGGTGTATAACAGGATATTGACTATTTCAGGTCAAAATTAGGGTTAGGTTAGGTAACCGAAAGGATACATAATCTTTGTTGGATAAAATGAGGATATAACTGAGTCAGAACAGAATTAAGCAACTGCAGTTAGAGAAACACTGATATAAACTGAGTCATAACACTGTCACAAACGGCCAACTGGCTAAGGAGCAGTTCCCATTATGTGAATTTAATCTATTTGGCCTAGACTATTGTATGCAGGCCTAGTACTATATGGGTTTCAGCTTCCTGTTTTATAGTACCATTTTGAGGACTGCCACCATTTCAAAAGCCGTAATAGTTTGTTATGAACCTCTCTAGAAATGGCAACAGTTCTAACTTTGTATTTTTCTAAAACTCAGGGGGTTAGGTAGGCTTGGGTTGTTTGGGACAAAACACATTTCCCTAATCATCATTTAATGAATTAGTCTAAAACTTTATAAAGACATGTTTAAAATACTAGAGCTATAAGCCTGGTCTCTATATTTTGACCTCATTATCATGGCTGTAATCATAAAGGAGAATAACAGTTAATCAGTGAATTATTTTAATAACCTACCAATAGTGAACTTTGTAGTTATAAACTGTGTGTGGCCTATTAGTGTGCGATTGACTGACATAGATTCCTACACAGTATATAGGCCTAAATGTAATATCTATATCTTGAAAGTAATACCTTAAATTCAAAATATTTTATCCCTAACAAAACATTCTTCTCTTGTCAACTGTTTGTGCCCCTGACTATCAGTAGGGGGCAGCGTACTTCACTAAACGTTAGTGGGACCCCTCTTGTGCCATATGTGCGCCACTATTCATTTGAAGCAACCATTATTATTCAAGAGCTCTCCAGAAACAAAGCACGTGTCAGATCAATAATAATAACCTACAATATATCATCTATTGAGCGAGCTTTCAGCGCGTGTTTGCCAATGTGAAGTATCTTGTTAAACGCATATGAAAAATCCCATTACTTGACATCGTGTGTGCATATACTTGAGCTGGTTTGCATAATATTGTTCAGCTGTCACGTGTCTTTGAAAGCGGCGCACCTCAGGATAAACAGGTGCTTTTTGGGGAGACCAGGGTACATGTTGTGGACCACACATTGACAGGCAGTCCTTCTGTCCTGTCCCACTAAAACAGTTTAAACAGTTGTGCGGTGAAAGGCCTTGACTCAGCAGCGCCTCTCACGCCCCTGTTGCACTGTACGGGACAGCTGAGGGCCTGGGAGCCATTGTCATCACTTCTAAACATGTAAATTGCCCTGTCACCATTGTCTTTAGGAGATTTCAGTGACATAGATTTGGATTGAAATATTACACACCCCCGTGGGTCTGCCTAGGGCTGGACAGAAACAATGGGGCTGCTAACACTTTTCATGATGTCATTATTATACAGTGATCAATGGTAAATAGTCGCATTTTTATGTATACAGCGCTTTTCCTTCCAGGCACTCAAAGCATTTTACATCAAGGAAGCATTCACACTCACACACACACACCTTGTACACAAACACTGGGGCGAGATGGGTTAAGTGTCTTGATCAAGAACAACATTCAACATGCACCTGTGGAAGCTACAATTGCACTGCCAACCTGTGGGTCAGTGGATATGACCGCTCTACCAGTTATGCTTATGTCGAGAGTGGGATTTGAACTGCCAGCCTCCTACAAATAAAACAAAAAACATGGATTGGATATAACAAAAATATGGACTGTATATATATATATATATATATATATATATATATATATATATATATATATATATATATATATATATATATATATATATATATATATATATATATATATATATATATATATAATTTTATTTTTTAATATATATATAAAGGATTTACCCCTCACCATACAATATCTGTATTTCTGCAGCGTTAACAAATATTTTCTGTTTTTGATATCAATAGCCTAGTTTTCATTCTTCTTCTGTTTAGAAATTGAAAACAAAACTCCATTCATTGAAGTATGTTTTTCAGTCAGTACTGAAGAAGCTATTTGAATGAATGGAAAACCATAGGCTATTTTTATAGTTTTATTTTTGAAAGCAACACCTGATTATATTTTACCCATCTTCACTGTGTATTTTGCTTATTTGTCTTTAACTAATGACACTTTTGCATGTTGTGTAAGCTTCAAAGCCCATCCTCTCACCGCCTATTTCCTTATATTCAAAATGGCTGATGATGTTTCTGTATCAAAGTTCACTTCCACTGCAAACAGATGTCTATCTATGACATTCCTCCAGCCTGGCCATAAAACAATTAGCCCATCTTTAGCCCATATAAAATCATGGACACACTTTAAACTTTAACTAAACTTCCACACACAACTGTAATAAAAACCTCAGATCCAAGGGCCTCCCAAGTTGACCCTGCACTGAGAAGAGTAAACAGCAAATGGGGTGAAACATACAGATAAACAGATTTTCAACTTAAAGGTGCTCTGTGTAACTTTTCTGGTGGCAATTCTACCATTTGCTTGTTTCCATGGAGATAGTATTGCTTTGCTCAGATTGTTCCACAATATAACATTAAACTTATCCATGAAATTCAGTAACAGGTGTTTAAAATACATTGGGAAAAAAACTGTGACTTGGCCTGGCCCAAAATAAGCTTTTTATTATATTGTTAATGCCATACTGTGGAATATTCCAAGCAGAGTCAGGTTGTTTATTTTTAATATGTCAATTTAATATTGTGCTTTCTCAGTTAAACAGTTTCTGCTGAGATGCCAGTGAGGAAATAAATTGTTTTTGTTTATTTTGTTTGTGAATTTGGCCATAAAACAAAAAGCCCATTCAAATTTTGTGATTGGATGAAAAATTTAAAGTTAAACCACTTTTTTGTAATAGTGAATAAATCATTATTACCAGCAGCCTACTATCAAGTGCAATCTGTATTTACATTCAAAGACATTTAGCCTGTGTATCACTTCATATTTAGGCTATCTCATGACAAAACAAGTCGAATATAATCTTAACATTCATCATAATCAATCAGTAAACTCCCAAATGTTCAACAACCAATACTGCATTCTACTGTAACACAAAATATTCAAACCATGGACACACTTTAAGGTTTAACTCAATTTCCATGAGCAGCTGTAAAGGCTTTAGATGCAGGGGCCTCACACATTGGCCCTGCACTGAGAAGAGTAAACAGCAAACAGGATGGAGTCCCGTGAGCCTGAGAACAGAGAGGGGAGGGGCCACACAGACAGAAGTGTGCTGCTCCAGCTGTCACGGCCATAACTGTAGCTTTAACGTTTAAAAGCCTGGGACACATGGACCAGAATGCACTGTGTGTCTGTGTGTGAATGTAAGGGGGGCCCAGGAATGAGAAATATCTGAAAATGAATGTTCACATGTTTGTTTATATACTGTGGCAAAATTAACAACTTAATGGAAAAAAGTGCATTGAATTCAAGTGTTTAATTTTAGAGCTGAATAATTTATATGCAACGTTAACATTTAGCATTATTACACTTTTGACAATTTATTTTGTATAAATCACATTGGGATTGTCAAAAATTTTAATTAAAACTGGTATTGAAACTAGACATTTAAAAGGTATTGATAGAAAAATCATATTAATAAAAAATTTACATTTTCTGAATAGTTTTAGAGGAATTTCACTGGATCAGAATTTAAAAAAAAAAACAAATGCACATGCAGTATCAAGACCTTAACAAATTGTATTTTTTACATTATAGTCTGATTATTGTTCACATACATCTTCAAAACTATGGCATTTTTAAATATTGCTAAGTCCAGAAAGATTATATTGATAAGTGTAAATCTGAGAACTGTATTTTCACCATTGCGTGATAGGTCCAACATCTTTGCAACACTCTGAGCCATATTTAGGTCCATGATTGTTCTCCATTCTTTATTATTATTTCTGAATGTTTTTGCACATTTGACTTTTGATAATATACCTTAAAATCTGTTGTTACCCCCCATATCACCTGTTTTTGCAATATGGTGTATGTATCAACCCCTAGCCCCCACCAAAGCCCCGTTTCCCCTCTCGTCCTCCTGCCTGGGGCTTCCTTCCTTCCCTTTGTTAAGCTCTGGGGCAGACTTGGTCAAGCTGAGCACACAAACAAATGCATATGAGTGTGTGCTGTCATCTTTATGGGCCCCATTGCCAAGAACCATTACTTCTAACACACTCCTTTTACCATGGAGGAGTTCACTGCTGCCCCCCACCAAGGCCAGACGAGTGGGATTACACTAAACCTGATGGGGTAGGAGTAACAAGAATACACAACACAATACTACGAGAACACTACCCTAGACCGGGATTTAGGCTTGGTCTAATCCCAGGTTTAAAATGGATTAGGTTTTGGGCAGGTCCTGATTTAATGGTTTAGTCATCATGAGGAAAAAATATGGTTTCAACTTTACCAGATATAAGATAGTAAATTAACATATGTGGAGGTTTAGTTACAAAGGTTACATTTAAATAATTGAAACGAGTGCAGTTAAATTATAATAATGTAGTACTGAACTATTATTATTGAATAAATGAAGTGAAGCTTTATCTATAGAGAGCAAATACTGTATTCTCAATTGCTGGGTGATGGATATATTAGAATAGCTTCATGAAATCCATGCAGTCATTAAAGGTGTACTACATTACTTTACGTTTTTAACAAAATAGCTTGAAAAAC